AGGTGGAGAAATATGCAGTTTAATCTGGACAAGCGAGAGAAGACAAATGCAAAAGCAAACTATGCAGCAAATGACAGGACCCTTAGGGAGCACTGACATAGAGGGACCATGGGGTGCAAGTTCACAGCTCCCTAAAAGTGGCAACACAAGTGGATAAGGTGGTAAAGATGACATTTGGCATGCTTGTCTTCATTAGTCAGGACACCAAGTATAAAAGTTGGCAAGTCATGTTGCAGCTGTATAAGGCTTCAGTTAGGCCACATTTGGAATACTGCGCGCTGTTCTGGTTGCCACACTAAGATGTGGAGGCTTCGAAGAGGGTGCAAAAAAGGATGTTGCCCAGATTGGAGTGTACTAGCTATAAAAGGAGGTTGGACAAACTTGGATGGTTTTTGCTAGCAATGGTGGCTGTGGGGTGACCAGATAGAAATGTATAAAATTGCAATGAGTGGATAGATGAAATTTTTTCCCCCAGGGTGGAAATGTCAAATACTAGGGGGCATAGGTTTCAGGTGAGAGAGGGGTAAAGTTTAGAAGAATATGTGGAAGGCAAGCTTTTTTGGTTGAAAGCACATAGAAGGTTAGGTTGCCAGATGAGGCGACAGAAGCAAATACGTTAGCAACATTCAAAGGACACTTGAACAGACACGATAACAGACAGGGAACAGAGGGATACAGACCACATGCAGGCAGACAGAAATTGTTTAGAATGATTGGCACAGATATGGTGGGCTGAAGGGTCTGTTCCTATGCTGTACTGTTCTACATTCTATGAGGGTTCGTAGTGTTGAACTAATAACATTGAAGAGATCTTGGTCAGTCAAAATAATTATTATGCAAGGTATTTACGACAATTATACAGCTGTGCCTGGACAGATCTTCACACTGGTAGATCAATCACAGATTACGAATCCTGCTAAGTTCTCAATCTTGTTAAACTATTCAAAGGGCATACTGACAGTTGAAATTGCAAAGACAGACACTGGGATCTCATTTATACCAAGTCAGCATAGCAGCCAATAGTCCAATACACAACCCTGCACTGCCCAAAAAAAAAATCATCAAAAGACTGCTGGCATTTTTACATTTCAACATCCTGCTTGGTGTTTTGTTGAAGTCCTGCTCCTCAACTGACTGACAGCCTCTCTTGCCTCTCCCTTGGTCTGTGTATGGGCCAGCTCTGATGCAACTGGCTGAAATGGAACCAACACTATTACAGATGCATAGAGAGCACTTAGAAAGAGGAAACAAAAACAAATTAACAAGGAGCTTGGACTGATTGCATGTGTTTCTGGGCTTAGAATCTGTCATGTTTTGAATGACAGATGGACGAGAGAAAAAAAAAATGTAGCATGTTTCCTACCTGCAATGAGACCAATGGCAGAGTGATGTCATGAACTACAACATTATGCAAGTGCAAGAAAAAAAAAATAGCTATCTGGCAAGTAGGATTGGTGAATATTTCTCATCTTCAAAGAGAAAGCAAGGTCTTCAGTTTGCGTTTACATCTCTAGTGCTTTCTCTCCTTTCCTTAAAAATAGCGTGTCAAGCGCAAGACTGAAACTGGTGTACAAAGAACGGATTACAATAAAAATGGAAAAGTGGGGGATTCTTTAGCTGTAAAGAGCCGGGATGCTAGATTAATCAATCAATTATTAAACAAAATACATTAGTAGAATGGGTGATGCATTGCTGCTGCAGCATGTGGAGGCTCCTAGATATCAAGGTGAAGCAGAACGAACACATCTGTAAGTAAGAGCTGAGAAGCTGGAGCCTGAGCATTGTGCCATATTAGAGGGGAAAAGTTACTCAACACTTTACTCTGGGTGGTGGTTAGGTTCAGAGAGGATATGTAGGCTTTCAAAAGAAAAAAGACAGTATTGCAGCACAGCTGTTTAAGTAATAATACCCCAGAGAGGAAGAGAAGTGTACTAACTTAAAAAAAAAATGGAGTGGGGGTAGAAATGGTAAAAAGGGAAATTCATTGACTCTTCACTTAAATGCACATGGTATTCAGAACAAAGTACAGACATTAACAGCACAAAAGAAGTTAATAGGTATAATCTTGTAGGCATTAAGACACATGACAAAGAGACCAAAGCTGGGAACTATATATTCAACAGCATGTGACTTTTCAAAAGCACAGGCAGGAACCAAAACATGGTGGGGTAGTTTTGTCAGTACAGGATGGAATAAGTACAAAACAGCAAGAAATGATCTTGGATTGGAATATACAGAATCCACAGGAGTGGGGGTAGGAAATGAGATGATAACACTTAGGAGTTATCTATAGGCCATTTAATATTAGTGATGCTGTAGGACACAGAATAAAAATCAGGAGATAGAGGGCATGTAAAAAAAGGCAGTGCCATTGGGACTTGAATCTTTATGTAGATCTTGAAAAATCAAAAATTGACAGGAGGTGGTCACGAGGAAGAATTGAATGTATATTTGGGAGAGTTTCCTAGAACAATACGTTGTGCATTCAACCAGAGATCAGGCTATTCTGGATCTTGTAATGTGACTGATTTGCTAGGTGAGCTCAGTGTAAAATATCACCCAGAAAAGTGACCACAACACGGTCAAATTTAGTATTCAGTTTGATTGAGTGAAACTTTGGTTAGAAACACCCGTTTTAAGTTCAAATTAAGGGTAACAGAAAGGAATGAGGGCAGAATTGGTTGCAGTGGTCTGGGAAAGATGATTGATGACCAATGGCGAAGTAAATAGATCATGACTCAACAAAAGATATCCCAGTGAGGAAGAAGGATTCTAGGAAGGTAATAAAATGTGGTTAACTAAGGAAATTAAGCATAACAAACTGAAAGAAAAAAAACACATTAACTAATAGAAGACAGATGGCATACGGGGTTCATTTTCAGGAATGACAATCTGCAATTAGTGGAGTGCTGCAGGGATCAGTGCCTGGGTCACAATTATTTAAGAGTATATTAATGACTTGGATGAGGGAAGTGAATATACTGTAGACAAGTTTGCAGATGACAAAATTAAGTGCGAGGGTAAATGGTGAAGATGGAAAGGCTGGGACTTCGCCGCCGCCGCCCCGCACCCCCCGTGCCCTCCCGCCGCCCCAGAACGTAGGAGATTGAGGGGTGATCTTATTGAGGTTTATAACGTCATTCACATTATCTATTCCCCCCCATAAGAGTTTTAGAATACAATGGCAGTGGAGGCAGTCCAGCAATGGTTCACTAGGATAAACGGAGATGTGGAGATTTTCTTGGTGGCGTGAGCGCACATTCTTGGGGTCAGGAAGAACAAAGATGAAGAAAGTGAAGTACAAAAAAGTAAGAACAAGTGACAGAAAACGAGTCAGAAGGATGAGAGAAAAGGAAGAGAAGGTGGAGAGAGTATAGAGCAAAGCTAGAGACTGCACTGAACATCAGGAGGGAAGGCATGTGAGAGAACTTGTGCAAGAGGGCAAAAGGCAGATAACTTCATTTTTAAAAAAATGAGGACTAGCCCAAAATTAGAACCATTTAATTAAGTATTTTATTTTCTTCAAATTCATTCTCAAAGTATGTATTGGCCTGAAGTGGGCCTGACTGAACACCTCTAGAAAGGATTTTGGTGTTCTAAAAATGCCACTGGAAGGATCTCAATCATTTAAGGAACTAATTTTAATGATTAGTTCTGCTTTCTTTTGGTGATAATCAATACAGCCACACTACAGTCCACCTTAAAATTTGTTGGAGTAATTCCTCAACATTTCTTTTTTAAGGAAGGGGTTTAAGAGCAGGTTAACTTCATTCCTGGTCTCCATCAGTGCCTCTCTGGATTTAGCAACAGGATTCAGAAACAGATTCAATAATACCCCTCAAAAAGGAGAACTGGGTATACACTTGAAAGGGGAAAGATTTGAATGGTCATGGGAAAGAGCAGGAGATTAGAAGAGCAATAAAATTTGAATCAAAGAGCTGGCACAGAAATGAAGTGCCAAATTGTCTCCCACTGAACTTGAAGATTATACAATTCCATGTAATTATTTCCCCAACATAGTGATAATTTTTAAAAAAGTGGAAGTGACAAATTAATGGTCAGAATAGTTCATTGAAATTTATTAAAACAACGAGGTATCTGTAGTCACAGATAGTAGGAACTGCAGATGCTGGAGAATCCGAGACAACAAGGTGCAGAGCTGGATGAACACAGCAGGCCAAGCAGCATCATAGGAGCCGAAAGGCTGACGTTTCGGGCCTAGACCCTTCA